AGAAAGTTCTAAAAGGTGTATTCTCGAAGCTCTTCAAGATTGATTTACTGCAAAAGGTTGTATGACGAACGCATTGAGAACCATTTGAAAACTACAACAAAAGCTATTTAGCAACAATAAAAACCCTTCCGAGCCATTTCCCCTTGCCACTTGCTTAATCCACCTGATGCTATGGATCGATAACCAGCTAATCTCCGCTAACTAACAGTTTCAGTGGTAATTTTGTTGAAATCGACTTGAATTGTTCATCCTACTTCGTCTATCCTTCGAGATTTCTTTGTCATAAATTTGGCTTTTATTAACTATGAGGAACCATCTTTTAAGCTCAATTTGCAAACAGAGTAATTGGGGAGTTTATTATGCATTTTAAAAAGCCTAAAAAGCAACAATAAATGTTTTTGCTCTAATGAAAACCCTAATGGTTTTATGGTTGCTTTTATAATGATAGAACACGTTATGACTGTCGTAAACAACATTTAGCAACTCTCAACAACCCTCTTACCATGCGTCCTCTCGTACTCTTGAAGTCCTTCAAAGATGGTTCTCAACATGAAATCGAAATAAAAAAGTTAGAGCAAGAAAACTGTTTTATGAGAGCTACCCTAACTAAGTTTCGAAGAATGTTCATAGAATCACATGTTGATTTGATAGTATTTCATTTTTTGACGTAGGACTACGTCTTTGGAAGGGTGCCAATTCAGGGAAATGCAACGAAAATTGGTCAGACTTTTTATGCAAATAACTTGGTCAATAATCAATGGATTTTGATGATTTGTGTGTCGATAGATTCACCAGTGCTATTAAATTTGGTGGTATGTCACACATTATAATCAAGCTTGCAAATGCTCATTACAGCTAAAATGCTATTATTCGGATTTATGATGTTATGAGATATTTTAATGATAATTGTTATTTACAAGATGCAAGAAGAGAAGGTAAAGTGTGTGTATGACACATAAAATCAGTAAATTAAGCTTTCAGAGGGTCACAATTGCGATTAGCTGTAACGATGAGCAACGCGATGAGCGAGCAATCAGCGATCATAAAATCGATAGTTGTGACCTTCTGATAGCAAAATTGACAAATTTTATTTGTCACAAACACACTTTTCCACCTCTTCTTGCTTCTTACAAATTAAAATTATCATTTTAGTATCTCATTGTTTCATAATTACGAAAAATAGCATTTTAGCTGTAATGAGCAATTACAAGCCTGATTGTAATTGTTAAATATTTAAATAGTTAACAATGAAGAAATATGGAAGTATTCAAATTTCCCATACATTTTCTTCGACCGCAAAGTGCTCACCCCTAACACAGCCATCAGAAAGTTGATCCGCAACAACACAAGCCGAAGCCGCCCAATCATTCAACGTTGGATGGTTCGAACTCGGATTTGTTCGCTGCAGCGTGGACATTGCAGCGTTCCTAGCAGCTCAATACATACACCTCACACCAATAAAAATATGGTCGTTTAATAATGAAATTCAATTTTAATTATACCATTTTATTAATGTTGAATGTAAGATTGAGTTAAATATGCTAGTTGGTAAATTATTGAAAATTGATCAACGTGTTTAGCCGTAATCAACCAATCACATGCTCGCTCGCTATTATTATCGAGAGAACGGAGAGACGAGCTGGTACCACTCAATACTCAATATCATTTTGACGTAGGACTACGTCTGTGATTTCTATATGGGAGTACACTTTGTGAAAACCGAAAATGGAACATTTAACTAAATTATGAAAGATTTTGAACGTTAATAACTCAGCTTCCCCTGGACCAATTTTATTAATTTTATCACCAATTGATCAGAAATATTTCTACGCATCTGTTGAATTTAATATTATATCATTTTAAAAAAGTTTTGCTATTGAAAATTGCATGAATGTGCAACTGTTGCTACGATACTTTCATTTATCACCGATTGCCTGCCAAAAGCGATTTCCCTAACACAGATATCAATGTTAAATTCCATTCCATTCTTCTTAAACTTAAATATGATCAGAGTTGGTTGGAAATGCTAACATGAAGCTTTAGTGTGATGATTTATTAGCTAGAGAATGATCTTTAGAAGAGGGTAGGTGGATAGTTCCGTTAGAGTACGGCAGTATGAAAATTGAATAGAAGTTGAAAATGAGCGAAGGGCCATTAAAGCGACAGTTTACAAGATAGACGCACATTTTTGCCTAGCCCGTACGATGTACGCGGGGACTTGAAGTATGTCTCCAAGTCCACAGGCAAAAATGTGCGTCCCTCTTGTTGCTCATAAACTGACTGCGGCTGTGGAATAGTTCTAGCGACGTTTTCATCACTACCTAAAGCCCCACGTTTGCGAGAGCATTTCCAGTCGATGGTGTGTTATAATGCAGTTCTTCTTTACCCAACTATTGTGTTGCTCCTCTCGTCATGACCAACGTGATCATCTCAGAGAGAAAGCAGTAGGGTGGTTATTGCGTGCTGTACCATCATCAGCATTGTTGACGGCTACTCCCGCCTTGAGTTGTTACATTCAAAGTGTTTTTTATGTTACTTCATACGCGAAGTTAACGATTTTCAGAGTTGGTTGGAAATGCTAACATGAAGCTTTAGTGTGATGATTTATTAGCTAGAGAATGATCTTTAGAAGAGGGTAGGTGGATAGTTCCGTTAGAGTACGGCAGTATGAAAATTGTCGCTTTAATGGCCCTTCGCTCATTTTCAACTTCTATTCAATTTTCATACTGCCGTACTCTAACGGAACTATCCACCTACCCTCTTCTAAAGATCATTCTCTAGCTAATAAATCATCACACTAAAGCTTCATGTTAGCATTTCCAACCAACTCTGAAAATCGTTAACTTCGCGTATGAAGTAACATAAAAAACACTTTGAATGTTAAATATGATAATTTTTAGAAAAGAGGACCATTTTAGTCACAAGCTAAGCTAAAAGGAAGATCTATCTATTCTTGTAGACAAACTCCTCTAGAGATGTCAAACCTCTGGAGTGCATGGTTATAGAGATATCGATTTTTGTCGTGCAGTTTTGCGTTAGTTCAATAAACGTTATTCCAAGGGAGATCTGCAGAGAACTCCTGGGGAATTATGGAAAGCATTCTTTAGGATTTCCATTGAGAATTTTTAAGTTATTAAAGTACTCGCAGTACTAGCAAAGTACTCAATGGGTTGTGCAAGGAGAACTTCAGATGAATTCTAAGGGCATTATGAATAAAAGTGCATGGTAATTATGAGGTGAATTCCGTTGAGATTGTAAGGAGTATTCCAAAGGAAATTCTGAGTAAGTTTTAAAGAAACTCTGAAGACAATTCCTAGCAATTTTGTCCACAATGCAAGAAAATTTCCGCGGGTGCTACAAAGAACTCCTGACATTATTTCAAAGAGAAACCACTCATCTAATTGAAAAATGATGTCCATTTGATCGAAAGAAAAGGTGTCTTTAATATATTTGATATATACACTTAGAAATACCAAATCTTACACGTGACGGAATCCATCTTTGACATAAAGGATGAGACGTAAACAAACATGTCATGTAAAAATAAGTGCTCCGAGACAGAAGAGTTAGAAAGTACGTTTGATTGAGCTGAATTTTGACTCTATTAGGACTCAATTTTATGTCAAAATTGACGCTCGTATATGTCAGTCTCAGAGCACCTACATTTACATTATTTTTTCTAAGTGTGTAGTTTTATTACAGCCGAAGATATTTGTATTTTAGAAATCAAACTTTTTCAAATGAATTATCTTGTTTTAGCTGTATTTAGAAGACAATCCTACTGAGATCGTTTTTGGCGAATTTTTGGATTGATTGCATGATTTTACATAAAAATCATAGATCAAACATTGAAGTTCATTTTTTTTTTTACTTTACTTTACTACGCTGAACGTCATTTGGCTGAACGCAATTTGAAGGACTATTTTGTCATACGGGTTTAGTATTGATCTAATTGCTTGCCCTAGCTGGAAAATATTCTTCTCATATTTCGGGAAAGCAAAAAAATAAATGAATGCAATGATTTACATCAGCATAATCATGATGTACAATTCGCAGTTGCTACACCACGATTAACCAGATCCAGCGAAATTTGCACAAAGAACAAATGGGGCTTGGACTTAACAATCCATCAGTACTTTCAAGGACAATAACAGGACTGTTAGTCCGACACCCGTTGTTACCAGAGACCGAGTATTCCTCTACGCCTAAGGCGATATACATTCAGAGGTGTGTTCGGCAATCGTTTAGAATGAAGTTAAAAACACAACAAAGGCACACTCAGCGTGGTTCCACGACAGTTCGGAATAATTGTTGTGGTAGATTTTGGAGTTTTTACGTTGTGCGCTTGAAATATGGGTTTTTTTTTTATGACGGTCAAGTTTGGTTCCTGGAATCCAATAATATGCTTTTTTAATCAACTTTGAAAGCATGTTTAATAACCTTTCGAATCAATCAAATGAAGGAATTTATTTCTTCAACTCTCCAATTTGCCTTCCAATTTTTTAACCATTGCTGATGATCTTATGGATTTTCCAATTTTGTTTTAATTTTGCGTCTTACTATCCACTTATGTTAAATTCAAGCATCACAACCTACTCCCTCTTAAAATTAAGCTCATGGCGGTTTCGATAAACTCAACATTTTTCATTTGCTTCCCTCTTTCTAATCCATGGGTAGGGACGAAACATCACCATCGGAATTTATGGCTGCATTTTCAATTCCATCGTGTCCTCCAAATATGTTTTATGACAAACATTGCCAAGGACCCGAATGCGGTTGCCTGACACTTCTCCAGACTTATTTGCTTGATTGCTTTTCCCCCATACGCTACCCCCTGTACGGATCCCTCTTCTTACCGCCTTGAATCCACAGTTCTCTAAGCCGCGCTTCTCGACCGCAAAGTCCCACACGAATCATTTCCAATAATTCAATTTCTCTGACGTTCTTTTTCCTCACATGTTCTTTTTCTCCGTGTAAACCTGTGACACTCTGACCACCAGACAACGGAACCTCCAGCAGCACCAGCAGCAGCAGCAGCCACGGGTCGACATCAATCGCAACGACATCCTCGGTGACCGCAAGGTGGAGCTGAGCGAGCGCAAACAGCAGCTGTCGAGCAACTGGCACCAGGCGTACCAGGCCACCGAAAGCACCGTGCAGGACAATAAATTCAAGGGGATGGTCAGGTAAGCAGCTGCAGGTGGTGCGGTACTAACTGAAATGAACTGAGATCCGTTCGATGGCTTCTGTGGGGCCGAGGGGTCCGGCGCAGTTTGTTAGCAGTCCGAGATTTGCCTTGATTTGCAGCCCTTCGGCAGTGTTTTCTCTTGGGGATAAATCGAGTCGACTTGTTCAGATTTAATTTATACCAAAGTCAACAACCGTGATTTATCTCCTGCCCTGTGGTTTAATGGTCGCTTTCTCGAATTTCTATTTTTCACGCTGCATGAATGGATTTTTTTTTATGTTTGACACAGCGCCCAGATAGCCCGTCGGATCGATCTTTTCAACAATCTCAATAATAACAGCCCCGGCAGTGCTAATCACAACAATAACAAACGTAACCCTCACTAGCAGAGCGAGCACCGCATCCTTAGGATTAAGTTTTTGCAGCACTACTAATCGGCTTTCTTTCCTACTGAATACTAACCTACTAATTTTCCTATACTCTGCCATCCTGTGGGTTTGTGTGGATTTTCAACTTTGATGGATGAAGGCCTCTCAATAATCCTAGAGCAATACAAAATCAAGGTCATCCGCAGCCGGAGCAGTATCAGAATGAGGTGGTTCGTGGAAATGAATCGTTTCTCTTCTCGAGGAGGAAGTGGTAAGGATCGTTAATGCTTGTGGTGTTTGTTGTGGTTGTTTATGTTCATTGTTCTGGGGGTTGCAATTTATTAAACGAAAATGATTTAAATGGGCAATTGGATTATCCGGCAGATTAATTCACAATCAACGAATGGTAATGGTTTCAGTTTATTTAAGGAACATATGAATGAAATTATAGTGGGGCGCCCGTTATTCTTATTTTTCTCTTTTTCCATGCATATTTAAAAAATATTAAAACATTGCTGTATTCAAACTGTTACTGTTTATCACATTTGTTGTTACATTTTAGACTTCATCTTCATCTTTATAAGTTGAATTTATTTTCAAAGGGTATACCCTTGTTTACATTTGGCCTAAAAGAGCGCATGATTAGTTACATTATATTTCTTGAATTTATAACCTACCTAACTATCCTAACTTAACTAACGAGGTAGATTGTTCTCCGTTCGTCCAGTGTCTGGAGGACTATTGAGGATCATTATTAGGATCATGTTCTAGATCCTTTGCAGTTTGAGGTGTTGGAATTTAGAACAACTCTCCCAGATTGATATACTGTACACACTTAGAAATACCTAATCTTACACGTAACGGAATCCATCTTTGACATAAAGCATTAGACGTAAACAAACGTGTCATGTAAAATTGAGTGCTCTGAGACTGAAAAGTTCGAAAGTACGTTTACTTGAGCTGAATTTCGCGTCTATTATGACTCAATTTTATGTCAAAATTGACGCTTGTCTCAGAGCACCTAAATTTACATAAACTTTTCTTAGTGTGTAGTCTTTACTGGTACTTGTAGGATATTTATTTGTAGACAGCAAATTTGTTTTTCAGTGGCAAGGTGAATTTCCTGTTGATAAGCGGATACAGTGATCTTATCAAGATGTTGCAAATGTTCCCAAGTAGCACACAAATCATATTTCTGAAAAAGAATTAGAACAACATGTTGTTTAAATGTATTATAAGTGATGCAGATAACATCCCATGTTTTATATAAGGTTTATAAAACTTTATAAACAAATGTTTTATTCATAATTCCTAGAATTCAACATTGTCCAAAAAAATTTCTTTTGATTTAATCATTAAATGTTATTTAAACGTGCATCTTACTGTTTTAATACCAACATAAAACTTGTCGTATGCAAAATCAATCTTAGTTGAATTTATAAAGCTCTTGAAGAGATTCTGTACTTTCCAGATTGACTTGGACATGGACGGCGCCATTGAGCCGGATTGTCTCTTCACGCAGTGATTGACAGTTTCTTATGAGGTTTTCGGAGGTTTGTTATAAAGAGAGTTGAAAACGCTTTTTTATGGAAGGCGAGAATATAATTGTCATCCCATTGGCAAGAACATTATAGATTAGATTATTTGCCACTGGTTTTTATGATGTTTCCAAAACATGTTGTAAGACCAGTATTTAGTTTAAAAAACTCCACGTCTTGCGCTTTTTAGGTTCTATGAATGCATTAAATGATGAAAATTAAATTATTATTGATTCTCTACGTAAGTCATTGAAACGTATTTTCAACTTCTTTCTGACAAGCCGTGTTGTTTGGGCTTTGTCAATGTTTACCTTGAAAACTAGTTTGCTGTCTAGTATAAGTCTGTGGTAGACCAGCTCTTTGAACCATTTACTGTCAACACTGAGCTAAAGGGCGAACAAGAAATTATTGCGACACCGAAAATGTCATGCCAATTTTCTTATAATATTTAGAATCAAACCAAAATTTTAGGGTAGTTTTATACATATATTTACTTCAAAAATCAAAAGAAAAGTTAATCGATGGAGAATTGAGTGTAAAATTGAACGCATTTTCGCTTGATGCCCTCCATCAAAGTCTTTACAGTGTGATCCGGTACCAGTTTCTCAGTTTTTTTTTTTCCATTTTCTTAACATGTCCTTCTCGTCTTTGACTGTCTTCTTGCTCTTCCGAAGTTCCCGCTTCACTATTGCCCAGTACTGCTCCACCGGGCGCAGCTCCGGACAGTTTGGCGGATTCATGTCCTTTGGATCAAAATGGACAGAATTGGCCTCATACCACTCCAGGACACTTTTAGAATAGTGGCATGATGCCAAATCTGGCCAAAATAGCGGAGCTTCGTCGTGCTGCTGCAAGAACGGCAAAAGGCGCTTCTCGAAGCACTCAGATTTGTAGATCTCGCCATTTACTGTGCCCTTTGTCACGAAAGGCTCACTCCTCAGTCCGCAAGAGTAGATGGCCTTCCAAATGAGATATTTGGAGGCGAACTTCGACATTTTCTTCTTCTTAAATTTGTCGTCCACATCGAACTTGCTCTTGCCGGTGAAAAACTCCAACCCCGGAATTTGCTTAAAATCGGCTTTTATATACAATTCGTCGTCCATCACACAGCAGCCATATTTTGTCAGCATCTTCTCGTAGAGCTTCCGTGCCCGAGTTTTAGCCGTCGATTGTTGCCGCTCATCGTGGTTTGGGAAGTTCTGTACCTTGTATGTATGTAGTCCAGCTCTCTTCTTTGCATTCTGGACGTAGCTCTGCGACATGCCGATCTTTTTAGCCAAATCACGGCTTGAGACGTTGGGATTTGCTTTAATCATCCGCTTCACCTTTCCCTCCGTCTTTTTGTTCTCCGGTCCCGGTTTTCTTCCAGCTCCTTTGCCGTGGTCCAACGTCAACCGCTCCTGGAACCGCTTCAACACTCTGGTGACGGTTGAATGGTGAATGTTCAACATTTTTCCCAACTGCCGGTGCGACAGGTCAGGAAATTCCAGGTGTTTGGAAAGAATTTGTTCTCTCAACTCGCGTTGGTTCACCTCCATTTTCGTTGAATCGAAAAACACGACTTCGAGTATGACAGCATGTACACAATACACATCAATGAGAAAGTTTGCAAAATTTGGTTGATTTTTACCCAATGGTAAAAAAGTTATGCCCTGTTGAATGTGTCGCAATAATTTCGTGTTCGCCCTTTAAGCAGATGTTGTTATTCACAAACGGAACAAGTCTGGATGATAGTGAATGTGAAAAGCTGATGACCTGGGTTTTCGCCGCGTTGATACGGATCTTCAAATTGTTGAAATACACAGTTAGGACATTCAAACCTCTCAGAAGTATGATAGTCAAAACTCCGACGACCCTTCTCTTGAAGACGATGGATGTGTCATCTGTGAACTGAGGCAGCGTACTTAGAGGTGCGCCGGAATTTTTTGGATCATGCTGCCACCGACACACTTAGACCGGCGCACGCTATGTCTGAAGGCACTTTTTTTGCAACTTTCATGTACCTCAGTTTTTTTCATCACATGAAGTTTATATTGATCCTTACAATCAAATCTGTGAAGGTTTTAAAATATTTCATCTAGGGTTTTTTTTTAGAAAAAGCGTTTTGAAGTATATTTAGGCGTTTATGAAGGCGTAGATGGACTATGGACGATACAAAACTGTTAAGGATCGAAGCAAATTCAGCTGAACATGATTCAAAAAGAGATTAAAGTTGTCAAATACTACGTTTCACTGGAACAGTAAGATTCCCTCTTCGGTACCGTAAGATATCGTAGCTTTGTCATGTTTAAATAAATAAAATAAGTTAATAGCAATGGTTTAGTCTCTAAATTTACTATTATTACACTAGTTTACAGCATATTTGAACTTTGTTGCTGATGGTCATTTCCCATGTAAAATCGTGCGCTGAATCCAAAAAGGTTGCCAGTAAAAATGTCAGTCGGACAGTAGCATCCATATTGTCCAAAACCTTTAGCTGATGATCAAAATTGCATCCTTCCAAAACTAAAAGTTTATCAAGCACCTACAATGGCGACCAGCGAATCCAAATTGCGCATGTTGAGTCGCATTTGCAGCAACCACCCAATTTGAAGCGTTATCGTCGAACACATTTCATAAGGAAGGTGTAAAAGAGAAAGAGATATCACAACACATTTTCTCTATCATACCTGGAGTGTAAGTTGTTTCACCAGCGACTCAATGAGACAGCTTATAGAAGTTACATTCAAATTCAACTCCATGTTCATAAGGTTTTCCTTGACTTTGTTGAACTTCGATGAAATTCTTCAAACTGCTTTGAAGTTCACAGAACGTTTCTGAGTTTAGCATTTGCTGGAATTCTCAGATATTTCTTTAAGTTCACAGTATTTCCTTAATGTTATTAAATTTTCTCTGTGGTTCACAGACCATCCTAAAGTTTACATACATATCTTGGCTTTTTGCAGAGTATCATTGAAATTCATATAATGTTGCTATAATTCACAGAACTCTCTTGAAGTGCGTTGAACTTACCAGGAGGACATTGCACTCCCCTGAAGCTCACAAAACGTCCCTGAAGTTGGCAGAATTTTCCAAAAGTTTATAGAACTTCT